GATATCATAACTAAAAGCGTATCATTTTAGAATAAACGTCTTAGCAAAGGAAAGAAGGGATTGAAAAAGAAGATGTAGGTTGATTTAGTAATGTTATATACTGTGGAGGAAATGTCTAGATGAAATGAAGATACATCATGTGAGAGCGTGTACTACCTAGACACAAGTTTGCGCGGTCAGTTTTTCTGTTTCTCGTGTACGCGTCTTTGTTATTGTTTACGCCATACAAGATAAAAACAATTCAAACTATAAATAAAAGTAACAGTATACTAATAATTGTCCGATACCTGATACTGTAACTTACGAACGATGGGTAAAAATGCTGAACTTACTGTTGTCATACTAATACGGCTAAAGATGTTAAGGCATGGATTGCTGGAAAATGTTAATGGATTGGCCTGCTCAATCCCCGGATTTGAATCCCATTCGAACGTTGTTTGTACGACCGTTCTGATCCTCCCAGAAATCTTGTAAATTTAGAGAAAATCCCGCGAAGAGTCTTCCTCAAATTAATTGATAGTATGCCTCAACGAATAGAAGCACGTATTGCCAATAATGGTTGGCCAACAAGATATTAGTATTTCGCTAAGCTAAAAAATTTTTTAAAAAACCGCGCAAACGTCTAAGTAGTAGTTTTCGCTGATCAGAGTACTTGCTTGAGCAAGTGAACGCTATCTAGTAACAGCAATTAATACGAATATTCCGGCATATGAGCTCGTTTTTGGCGAAACACAGAGTTGATCCCTTCGCCAGAAAAGACTGGTATGATGTCAAAGCGCCTTCGCTTTTAAACAAAGAAACGTCGGAAAGACTCTTGTCAATCGTACGCAAGGTCTAAGTAAGTAATCGCCCAATCAGTATTATTTATTGACGCTTATTATCTGTATCAAGAATAATAAAATGATAGAATATGATGTTCGATATTAACACTAACTGTTAATTGTCTAAACTAGAAAACGCCAACGATGCCGTGTGTTCGAGATATCTTTGACCGACCTGAACAATGGGTGATCATAGTGATGACTGTCATGATCAGGCCTTCCGTAAGATCAAGCTCAGAGTAGATGAAGTTCAGGGCAAGAACCTCCTCACCAACTTCCATGGTATGGATTTCACACCTGACAAACTTCGGTCTTTGGTAAAAAATGGCAGGTCTGTAACAAGAAATGAGCGAAGAATAACAACCATGGCGATTGCTTTATGTAAAATAGAGCCGTGTACGCATATCAATTTGACAACCAAAATAGTACGACGGCTTCTGCTTTAATTTTAATGATTTTCATTCCAACAGACTCTTATCGAAGCTCACGTCGATGTCAAGACAACCGATGGCTATCTTTTACGTCTATTTGCAATTGCATTTACCAAGAGACGTCAAAATCAAGTATGAAAGACTACATATGCCCAAACATCTTAGATTCGTCAAATTCGAAAGAAAATGTCTGAGAGCATGACAAAAGTAGTATCGCAAAATGAGTTGAAAGTGGTTAGCAAGCATCTCCTGACCGATGGCTATCGGTAATATTATTGAGAAGGCTTGTCAAGGAATTTACCCTTTACAAAACGTACGTTACAAGATCAGTCAGATGAAGTATTTCTGTTGGGGAGGGGAGGAATGGGAGCGGATAGAGGGTTTGCATATTTTACTATATTTCTATCGCTGTCTCCATGCTAAACACTTTATGTCTATCGCATAACGTAGGTAGATATCCGCAAGGTAAAAATTCTAAAAAGCCCGAAGTTCGATATACAAAAGTTGCTTGAACTTCACAGCGACGCAGCCGATACAGGCTCTAGAGTAGGGGGTGTGCAAATAGAGACTTCAAAGAACCAGAGGTCTTACAATCCGCGTAAATTGCGCCCAAATATAATAATCTACAAACAAAAAGAAATTGCAAAATTTGTTCCATGATTTAATGCGCTGAAAGTAGAAGGCAAGCTGCCGACCTTTCTTTTTCATATTAATGGGGAGATAATAGCGACTAGTTCGAAAAAAGCCTTGGATAGCCAAAGAAACAATATATATATTTTTATTTTACCTCGAGCAGAACGTTCATCAACTAAGAGATATAAATTCACCAAGTGTATGAGTTACATATTAATTAATCAATTTCCTTGATTTCATAGTAATAGCAGTGCATTTGCGAACAGGTTTACAGAGATGCCTTAGATAGGGAAAGACGCCGAGTAAGTACTCTATGCTTTCTGCAACATCTATTGTGATTGACCGACTGAATAGAAAATCTCTATAGCGTCTAGCAAATGAAAGCGTAAGAAATAGAACAATTATTCGTATGAATATAGATAGGATTATAAAATACTGTGTAAGTAAATTGTCCTGGAGTTTGTTTATTGGCTTATCCAACTTGATTTTAACCTGAGAAATTTCCAAGAGGCTGCAACCAAGCGAAGTAGTTGTCCAAGGGAAGACAAGAGAGTCTACAGGGCAGTCATGAAGGAACTTAAATCACTGGACATATCAAAAGTCAAACCCGATCATCCACTACTTGTGGAATATTTGATCTTACGAAGAGGGGGACGATTATGCCAACATACTATACTGCCAGAGGAGATACTCCACCTTTAAATAAAGATCTTCCTCGAACTAAGAGGTCAAGGTTATGCAATGTGATAGACTTCTTGTGCGCATTATATATGGAATTCCATGTTGGGGCCTCTAATTTTGAATACCATAAAACACACACTATGCTGTATGAGAAACACATTGGAATGAAGTCGTCAGATCGATACACGTGGGAGAGCGTTCGTGTCTTCAAACGGAACCTTTGACTATTCCTATCATCAGCTAATTATTGAATGACTAAGCAGGTTCTGCATGCAGCCCAATTTCAATGGTATAGTCGACTAGTTTATTAAAAGTTATTGCTTGTTCAAACTGTCTCGAGACAACACTATATATTTGAACTGCATCGCTTTATCTTCAATTTGATGATAAATCCATCGTTGACCACCATAGTAAAATTATTATTCTTGCGAAATCTGATATATTACTCAAAGTACTAGATGAACTATTTCGTTAATATTCATAATCTGCTACAATCGTTCTTTATCTCTTTCACCTTTCTAGTATTTTCGAATAATGTTTGCAAAGTAGAGTTTGGTTGTTTTTTGGCGACAGTTACACTTCTTTTCCCAAAATCTTGAAAGATTTGACTAACATGCAAATAATGACATGCAAATAATGACATGCAAATATACAATTAAGTATGTACGGTTAAGCACACATTTTGAGATATTAATATGTTAATTTGTATATGGTTTCAAGTAGGGCGCGAAAAAGACTCTGCAGTAGCCCATTGCACAAATGTAGTTGGTGGAACATCGTTATCAAGATTAATTTTACTGTATTAATATTAATATACCTAATTTCTCGCATGCTTAATCAAGTTACAGTTAAAGATACAGGGGTTAAAATATAAGAATGGGATGTTAAAAAGAATTTGATTTCAGAACATTTGCTTTTATATCTCATATGCCGAAACGGGAGTCAACTACAAGTAAGGTCGGATAACTAATAACTTTTAAGTATGTGGATATAGATATAACCCGACTATTAACTATCAGTAAAAAGGAAGGTTCGAGAAAACCTTCAAGTGCCGCATATTAGTACCTTTTAAATTATCCTTTACTTGTATTAAACCAACATTTGGAAATCAAAAGTGTCTCGCGGCTGAAACAGTTTAACATAATTACGTCACTTAACCTGAACTTACATACATAGCATGACTTTTTGGCTCGATTTATTAAGTAATACGGTTTGCGGGGTTAATTACTCTGCTAAATAAAATAATGACACACTCACCTCATATGTAAAATACATTATACAAAATACAACGTGTACTTTGTTATCTTCATGTTGTGACCGAGCTGGCTATAAATACTTTGAACGCCATATTCAAACATTTTTACGTAATTCGAACGGTTTCTTTGCCACGGGCAATGGGATTAATTACTAATGTGATTTCGTTGTCACTTTGTTGTACGCTACAATTGCATCTCAAAATAGCAAACGACACTGAGCAATAATGCGGTATAGTTGCATCAAAATCTGACATATTAATTACACCAGTTCCAAATTGGGAAGTGTGCTGGAAAGTTGTGTAAGTTGTGTTATATTGTCATCGCCATTAATATTTAATATTAATTAATATTAACCTGTTTGTACCACACAATTTTCTCGTTAGATTGTCTACGAATTAGATGTCAGTGCTAATAATAATGAATCCAGTTTTCGTATATAATGTATATTGAGTATGAGTAATAATAAAAAGTTTCTATTTGGCCTTCTAATTCAGCATTACTTGGATTCTTTGAGCGCAATTCCCGAATTACTTTATGTTAGACACTAACCGTAAGACTTTTTTGTATGTCAGGCGAGTACATTCGGCTAATTCTTCCAACTTGCTAAGAATATCATACAAGACATGGAACGGCCAATCAGCGTTAAACGTACCTGTCTTTCCGTCAATTACTGGCAATTATTTCATTGACGAAAAGTCAATAGCAAACTATTTACGTCACCATACATTGCCATGTGGGTCTTTGTTAACTCGGTTCGTTCTAATAATTTGCAAGTCACAACAAAGAAACGTTTTTTGCTATTATGGCATGACGAAGCCATCCCCTTAGATTTTCAGAATGTTTTGCTTTCCAACCCCTGATAAGTTTGACTACATGCACACATGCTCAATCAACAAACCGAGAGCGTCTGTTAAAGTTCTGAAATTGGAAGTTCAGTGGCTCGTCTTTATAAACACTTTTGTGATAAAATTAATTTGTGGACACGTCTTTCCCTTCCTCGCATGTGAGATTTACGTATTTTGTGTATATTGTATTACAGATTACTAGTCGGCTAGATACGAGATGTTTATCGCGTGTATCGAATATACAACGCGAGTACCCACCGGTGAAACCAATCATCAATGTCTGATACTGTATTACCGGACCATGTACTGTACATGACAATTACCACCAGTTATTATTGTTGTCTCACCTATCACCGTCGAAATTACTAAACATGGAGATATATCCGATAGCCCTTGTTGATCGTATGTGGCAGGGCAACAATGTGCATTTTGACTCGTTTGGGGATATTGGCCGGTATCAGTGATCGATGACAGAAACGGGTAAAATCACGAAACGGGTCAGAGTAATGTCCCTTTTTTTCAGATACAATTGTCAACCAAAATGGTCATGTGGATTTCCATCTAGAGTTTTTGGACATGGTTGACGAATTTGTTCCATTCCGCATTAGAACTTCAAATGATGTATGAAATTTTGTTGCACGCAATCGTATAATGTCTTTGAAAATTTAATTAATTAACTAATTTAGAATCTCAAATGTATATATATTGCCACCCCTTCGCGCTACACCTACCATCGGCTAACCAGACCCTCCAAAGAATTTACACACACTCATTCAGGACTGTTCGCTTGGCTGGTCCAATTCTCATTATCGATAGAGAAAACTCTTTGTCCATAAAATAATCCCGCGAACACCTACACTTTGTCCTCTGCCCTTAGACTTGAGTTTTTCTCTCTTCTATTCTACAAAAACACCATTCAAACATGAGATCATACACGTTCGCACTAATATTATCAATGGTCGTTGCACTGGCAGCAGTATCTCTGGCTTCTCCTCTTAATCGACGACAACAGAATGGTGTACCTGGCCAGCCCAAACCATCTTCTGCAAAAAGGATAGAAACAACACCAACAATATCACCTTCCGTAACAATATTAATAACATCACCTTCCACAAACAATCCTACTCCCACAACCACAACCAGTACGGCTCTCGTAGACAACCCTGCTCCCACAAACAACCCTGCTCTCGTAGACAACTCTACTCCCACAAACAACCCTGCTCCCACAAACAACCCTGCTCCCACAAACAACCCTGCTCCCACAAACAACCCTGCTCCCACAAACAACCCTCCTCCCACAAACAACCCTGCTCCCACAAACAACCCTGCTCCCACAGCTCCCACAAACACGACTATCCCGCCATCCTCAAACTCTACAGCCTCTACAACCCCTGCGCCAGCCGTGAACGGCGCTCCTGCAAATGGCAATACGACAGTCACCCCTTCTCCAAGCAATGTCCCAGTAAACGGAACTGCAGTAGGTCCTAACCCAACAGCTACGACAGGGAATGGAACGACGCCTGCTGTAACCCCCACCCCTCCACCGAAACCAAAGAACAATAACAGCAACAGCAACAGCAACAGTAACAATAGCAATAACAACAACAATAATAACAACGATAATGGCAGACCATCGACATCGACTGTAGTAGTTGCAGCTACTGCTGCTCCTGCCCGTACGGGGGGCCCGTCTCTATTTTCAAGCAGCGCAACAAGAAACAAACAGGAAACGGATTGCATGAAAATTTTGTTGACTGTCTTGGGTTTGTTTGTCAGTATGTCGTTTATATAAAATAGTGGTAGGTTAGTTCCGAGGAGAAACTCATAGGAACCGTTCAAGTATTGTAAACTTTTTGATAGGAGAGTACATTTAATCACATTAGCTAGATCATAGATAGAAATATATGTAATGTCCGCCCCCCGCGTACGCAAAAGTACGAATTGGAATATATAGTAAACGATACGGAGCGATTGTAATATTCATAATGTGTGTTTTGTGTGTGTGCTGTTTATTCTGAGCTTTGTGAGCCAACTAATTTGCGAATTTGACCGTTATCAACTCGCGCGTTACATGCAAGATACGTGTATGAATGTATTCGCCTATAATATACTACTCCTTATACTCAGTACTAAACTATGCAAGATCGTCAGCTTCTAAATTAACTGCAGTCTGACCAATTAATACAAAAGATGGTTTGCGCGATGATAATTCCGTGTGTAAATAGCGAAACAAGGCGATAGGTTGGGCAAACGATCATGCTATACCTGCATAACAGAAGTAACACAGGGCAGTAGTACATCGATCACTTTGCTTTTTTTCGGGTTGCCATAATAACTAAATGCCGAATTTCTGTCAACTTTTACACTATTCCTTTGCGACAAAATGACGAACCCAATAGCCTCGCAGTTCAAAGACGAAGAAAAAGAAGCAGTTGCACAGCTCAAGGCAGAACTGGATGATATTTTGGAAGCGGCTGGTATAGAAGAGGGTTACAAGCTTTGGGATGTCCCGCTAAATAAGACGTCAGAGGACGAGAGATTGGATGTAATTCTAATCAAGTTTTTACGAGCGAGGTAAAGTGGCAATTCTGCGTAATAATGAGAGCAATGAATGAGAATGGAATAACAAACTACAAAACGCTGTAAAATTAATATAATGAAACCTTTTTTATTGTCCATTAGAAACCTCAGCTGCCCCGAAGCCAAAGAAATGCTAATTTCTACGTTAAAGTGGCGCAAAGAATTCAAAACCGACACCATTTTATCTGAAACCTTTCCTGCTGAAACTTTCTCCAAACTTGGTTTTATCCATTCCGTCGACTCTTTCAACCGTCCGGTGACTTACAATCTATACGGAGCAGAGAGCAGCGCAGAAGCATTTTCTGATCTTGGCAGATTTCTTAGATGGAGAGTGCAATTAATGGAGAAAGGAGTGCGGCAACTGGATTTCGTTAATACAGATCAGATGGTGCAAGTGCATGATTATGCGGGTGTGGGATTTGGCAGCTATGATAAGAATACCAAGCAAGCTAGTAAAGCTACTACAGCGCTTTTGCTGGAGAATTATCCAGAATTTCTGGTAAGGACGATAATAAACATTGCTATATCATTGCGTCGTTATTTGGATTGGGCAACTAAACTTTAGCCTCGGGCTTCCATCACTCACCTACAGGCCGTAAAATACTTTGTAAATATCCCATGGTGGGGAGATGCAATCTTTAGATTCATTTCGGTCTTTTTATCCGAACAGACCAAGAAGAAATTTATCGTTACGGGATCGGGTGGCGCGCATGCCGCGTTGACTAGATTGATAAACGAGGAGAATCTTCCTACGTTCTATGGAGGCAAGAGTGTCGTACCCGGATTTGATTGAGGAAAGTAGAAAGCCCACCACCGGTAATGAGGCTGAAGAAGAAGAAAAAGAAAAGTACATGTTTGCGATTGTCTACCTTTTTAATGGAATACTTTAATGTGTGAAATATTAATGCGAGAGAGTATTGGGTTCGTTAACTTTGTCATAGGAAAAGTATATTATTAAACCTGATGAGATATTTAATCAAGTAATGAGAATTATAATCTTAAAAAGCTCTTCATTTATTTGTATTATGGGATTTAAACTAGTAATGTGTTGATTCCGATTACCGGTGCAATACGAATGACGAGTAAGCATAATCTTTTTCAGATAATAAAACAATAATTTATTATTATTCTACACCGCTTGTTGCAACTATAACCCTCAGTTTCATATCATTCTCATATATATATATATATATCTCTCTCTCTCATGTCACTTTCACATACAACAACAACTCTCAATTTTTCCTCTCTTTTCATCCTGCACACACCCCACTCGTTAAACCAAACCAAAAACCAACAGGCTTTTATTAACATCATACGTATAAACCCATATTCTTACAATATATGGTGTTTGTTGTTAATCGAAAGTACTAAGACTCCTCCACTTTCTCTTGCCAGTACCGACCCGTAATTGGAATTCTGCTCAAGATATCCTGCCGGACTTTTGGAATCGGTTCAGCGAATTGGAGACCGACTATGCCTGCAGATACTAGAAAGAGGAAACCGGATGGGGCCCTTTTTAAATACGGGTAAAAAGACAGCGCGCGTGGGGTGGGGTGGGGGGAGGGGGAAAGGTGTGAAGAGATAATTGGTAAGCGACGAACGAAGAGAGAGATGTAAAAGGTAAGGGGTGTATGTATGGTAGGTAGCAATCAGTTCGGTATACTTGGCTCTGTAACCGGTTTATTACTTTCGATTTTCTACTTACCACCGTCGGACTAGCTCAGGAGTGATTCCGAGGAAATGAGGTTGGACTTTGGCTCTATAAACCTGCAGCATATTCTTTCTATCTATGCTTTGTTATACGATGATGTATTAGTATGTCTGAGAATGAGTTGAGATTATCCTTTGATATTTTTTTATCAGGATTGTCCTAAACGGGAACGTGAGTGTTACTTTATCGTTATGATGTTACATGCAGCACATGAAAATTGTGTCAATATTGGTTCTATAAAAAAAACCTGGGTCCACTAAGTCTCAGAAAAATGTTTAATTACATTCCATATTTCCTAATGCGAACTTTAACAAATCTTCAGCACCACAAATATACATATCGATATCATATTAAACAGTTGTTTTCGGTATGCGTTTTTCCAAAGCTATTGAGAATTTAATATGGCTAGACACCAGTACCACAAAGATGACTAAATACAAGTAAAATCAAATGGTATTATTATTTTTATTGTTTCCCACATTATCATAAACATTAAGACTTTGCCTATAATTTCGTCTTCATTGAGAACATAATTAATTTTCTTAAATACCAAATAAATGCACCTTACGTGGACCGAGATAATAAATCTTACCTGTTGATCGGAATGTAGAACGTGAACATTTTGCGCTCAATCGTAACTTCGTATTTTTGTTGCAACAATTTCAGCCTTAACCAGATGTTCTTTGTTTTTTTTTTTTTCAATAAGTCTTTTGCTTTGTCTTCTTTACGAAGCATTATACTGTAAGCCGTTCCGAAAACGTTGACATGTATCACATAAATCTCCGTTCTTGAACTCATAATTGAATATAAGGCGTTAATTGGTGTGAAACGCGTCATATTTTAACAATTTCAACGTGCTATCGTTTCCGAGACCTGTAATAAAATCACGATAGACTGACTTGTAACTCGTTTCGGCTGGCAAGAGTGTAAGCGATTGAGTAATTCGTTGACGTTTCTACCAGGACTTGATAGTCCATATAGTTTTCGAGAAAATTCTTCACGGCAGTAGCAATGGTTATATCAATGGTATTTTGGTTTTCCATCGCGGCACTTTTTATGAACGCGCCGGTATTATACCATTTGTCGCCAAAATGAGTGCGGCCAATTCCTAACATATTGAGATACGTTTTCTGACAAAGACAGAAAGAGGCGTATTGCGATCTCAGTAGTAAAACGTTCTCTTATTAATACGCGTTTTCTTTTTAAGACGTCGGCTGGCAGTTATTTCTCCACCATTCATTGCTTTCAGTTGGGCCATTAAAAATATATCTTGTTCGGATCTAGAGAGAGCTTGAAACGCCTCACGTAATTCAGCAAATCCTTCTATCGAAATCTTTTTTGAGCAACCGCAATTGCAACCTATCTCTAAGAAACGGATTGCTTTTTCGTATTCGGCGGAGCCATTATAATTGTAACTTTTCATATACAGGTAATCCTATATATTAATTTTTATTAAGAGGTTTATAGTTACACTTTTCGTTTGGTCACTGTGTTCTCCGCTATAAAACCTGACGCTTGCTATTAGCATGCCATCCAAGAAAAATATCTGTTCTATTATGGTTTTTCCGCATAAGATCAATAATTCCACCAATATCCACCTATGCCTTCTCAGTTAGGCTTTGGATCGAGGTGGTCGTGGTAAGAAACTCTTTGTTGTAAGTGCAATAGCGTTCGTCGTCTTGTAACAGAGATGGGAGTTCTTTCTTCATTGGGTCTGGAAACGCATCTAGAATCTCGCTGATAGCTGCAGCTATCTCATCGTTCTCTTTAGCAATCTCAAATAAATTCTGAAAGCATCGGCTTCCATA